GCATTCTAAACCACTTTTTGGCACCTTATTACCAGTGCAGGTTTCCACGTTGGTTCCTCGTGCTCCACCGCTGATGACGTGACCCGAAGGCTCAGGTCACGCGGGTAAATCCCCCGCGTTACAAACGATGGACGCTATCTAACTTAAGTGCTGTGAGCATCCTTGTTCTATAACGTGAACTCTGTTAAAGCAATGTCGCAATTAATTTTCAAGGAAATCGTGGAAGAACCTCGACAACAGCTCCTTTATCGAAGCCACAGTGTAAAGATTCCAGCGTCGTGTCGTCCTGATCAACCATAATATAGCCAACATCGTCAGAAATGAGGCTTAATTCACCAGTACGAGAGTACTCGATGAAAGCACGGAGAGTGAGCTAAATATTTTATGTGAACAAAAACTCAAGTCAGCCCTGGCGTTCGAGAAACTGACAAAGAAAATTGACAGATACGAACAATGTATGGTACTCACAATGACGGTGAGATCTGTTAGTCCAGGTCGAGCAGATCTTGTCAAAATCCGAGCATGTGTGTATTGGGGAGCAGCAATGTTTTTGATGAAACGCAGATGACGACTGCTTAGGTATTCTGTGGAACAATCCTCTGCTCGGTATTGCAATCTAAAGAGAAAATCTATTTCTTAGAGCGAGTGCATTGACTAAGAAGCAGGGTATCCAGTTTGATGTCATTGATAAGAAGACCTTAGCCCATAGCCCGGAGCTCGGGCTAGGAGTGGCCTCACTTGAGCTGTAACGTTGAACAAAAAGGTGAGTGTTACAAAAAAGACGTAATATACTGCGCTGGTGGGTGTGGTCATGATGTCGCGCCCCACAGACGAGTTGTCCTACCTGGCGTTTCGAATTTGGCTGGTAAAGGGACATGAAAATTCGATATCGTCCATCTTGGACTGCGTTCACACTTTGCGTCGGCGTCTACTAGCGACCATCAGCGTCTCGGGACTAGGGAAGTATAGGTATCAATCTAACGTACTGCAGCGTTTTCGCGGGCACTTTGAACTCGAGCAAAACTGCCCATAAAAGCTGTTGTGCGCTGGTAGACGCTGGCATTCGCTGGAGATATTCGCACTCCCCTAGTCGCTGACACTAGAGCACGCCCAAAGCGCTAGTGGACGCTGACGCAAAGTATGAACGCAGCCTTACATCCATTTGTTTTCATAGAAGTTTCGTTCCAATCAACAAGTTCGCGAGGGAATTTGTGGCGACGCGATAAATTACGCTTGTCATGTCCGCCTCTCATCAAAAAAAGCACGTCTCCTAGGCATAGCGCCGACTGCCCCTGGTCACGAACAATAACGCTGTCTAAGAGAAGATAGAGACTTGCCTCATCCAGACTCCCACAGGAAGCTCCATATCCCCATCATATCGAATGGCTTCTTTGTGTGTTTTTGAAAAAATGATGCTGTACAGGATATTGTTTCCATTCATTTTTCGAAAAACAACAATAGCATCCATACTTGATGTAGTCTGTAATAAAAATTGGAAGACGGCTGGTTATAGTACACTATCAATACTACAAACGGTCACATTCACACCTCCATTAGTTGTCGGAGCATGTCATAAGTGTCGGAACGTGGCCTGAAAAAAGCAAAAAAAGCAAAACAACGAAGCGAGAACCTTTCTAGGTATAGTTTCAGCGTCACAGCAAAGCAAATAACCAGACAATCAAGTAGAGGGGTGGAATCAGAAATCCGCGAAGGAAGTGATCACTTTAGATACATAAACAAATGTTTTAGTAAATTGTTGTTAAAGTACACGCTATAAATTAGCCGAACAGCCTTTGTTAAACACCAGTCTATCGGAAGAGCGTCGTG